ACAATCAAATGAAAGATTCATAATCAAGGTTCAAGAAAATCCCATTATTGTCAAGTTACGGTTAATGTAAAATCTGATAGATGGTGAAGCCAAAACTTACATAGCTTTTAATATGATCCATCTGAATTCCAAACTAAATTAAAAACATGCTTTATTTCTATTCTCTAGAATTTCACTAAGGTAGAGTTGTATTGTTGCTGGGGAAAAAAATCTTCAATAGTGACATTTTTATGGCTTTGTCATTCAGTCAGCAGGACCTATTGCTAGGCAATCTTAGAAATCATAGAGGAAAAAATAAGGTATATCTCCTTACCATCTGCTTGAAAATTCTTTAAAATCATCTTGTTAGTCCTCAAAAGAGGCAAGAAAACGTCTATTACTTGTATAAATGAATTGTATGTTTTGCTATATCAGGGATAGGATGAACATACCTTATTCATGCTTCTTTCTGTTTCTATGGAAACTGTGAAGAAACATAAAATGTCTTCATCTGCATTAATTTAATTAATGCAGAGACATTTAACCTTTCTAATAAAGTTTATGGGACAAACCTAGATTTAGGATAAATTTTCCAGAAATTACAAATTGTCCAGGAAATGAGAGCATGCACAGTTCTAAGCATCTCACAATTCATCTATGTTACACCACTGCTGTATGAGCTATATCAGCTTCCAGTTTTTTCCCAGGTGCAATTCAAGTTCTGAAATTGTTACCCTTAAATCCTGAATGACACAGGACCAAGTTATCTTCAGGATTGCCTCTTCCTGAGGAGATCTATCTCTGTTCCACTAGGTCTGATAGGGTGGCTGTGATTCAGATCCTTTCCCTCAATTGTTGCCATCTAGAGGGACCTAGACTGTCCCTACACTTCTAGCCTTCTGAAAGGCATTGAAAACCTACATTTTACCATAAGCATTGGGGTAGTCTGGGTCTGAATACCTGAAAGTTTTTAAGGGTATATGGAAAAGTGTAGCAGCTGGAGGTCTGGAAGTTTTCTGTGTTGTTATTTCTGTATTTATTGCTTTTATTGTTGTTTGTGAGCCACTCAAAATTACATTGTGTATGATGGAAAGATATATAATCTGGGAAATAAACAGAGTGGTGAAAAAGAGACTGAAAGGAAAAATCAAGATAATTAAATAATCCTCACAAGGATATTGAAAAGTACAGTAATTTAGGCTCAACTGCAATGTTTTGCCCAATGTAATGAAGGGCCAACCAACATCCAGGAAGCTGTCAAAGTTCAGAAGACTTCCTTAAAACCTGTCCTAACATGGAGGACAAAGACAAGCAGAAAAAGTGTAGGGTAATGTAAGGAATCCTAAAAAACAATTTGAGGGGGGAAAACTCAGGAAATAATAAAAACTTAAATATATTTGAATGGACAAAATCCAGAGCAAGGGTTCAGTCATTAGATAGCAACAAAGTGAATAAGAAGCTCAAGGAATGTATAAAATCTCTTCTACCACAGATGAGACAGAGACCTGGCCCAGTAGTGACTTTTTCAGGGAATAAATTGGAACAACTAAAGCTAATTAAAGTAGCAAATGGAGATATTCCAAAACATTGTGAGACAGCATAGAGAAACAAATTACCAAGTCTGGTGGTATCCATCTGAGAATTCTTAAAGAATTCAGTGATGAAATTACTGGTCTCCCAACAAAAGTAGGTATACAAATAGCATAAATTAATATTTCATTGAAGTAAAAAAAATATGTTGTAAAATTAAGAGGAGGCAGAAGGATGTAATAGTTCTGGATCTATGTCTTTTGATTTTCTGCCATAGAATTAATTAATGAAAGAGAAATGAAGGCATAGCTTTAATTAAGAATGAAGGAGCAAAAATAAAGGATAAAAAGTATGAACTGGACTCATCTGTGTTATTGTGATGGCATGTCAGCATAGGAATGCTTTATTTTAGTGAATGATAATAATGGAAGAATCAAAGATGAGTTTTAGGCAAAAAATTGGAATGAATCTGATCCATCCATTATTCCATCTAATTGCATTATTTGTTTATTCTGGGTTGGATCGCTACAAAGTCTCTGGATATAACTGACTAGATGAACACAGACAGATGATAGTTTGATGTGTTCAAATCTAATGAGATGACTGGGCAACTTCTTGTGAAGTCATCTGGGATTTGCTAACTCTGTAGAGTCCAAGGGATTGAACTGGATTTTCTGTAACCCGAATTCTGTAACCTGAATTCTTTTTCTGCCTGTCTGGCTTCTTTGGGCAGCCAAGGATGGGTTTCATATAGGATTTGAGAGTTAAGAGCCAATGCTAAGGCCATATGGATACGTGGACAAGAGGAAATAATTGTTGCATTGACTCAAGAACATTTAAAAGATTCATAAGGAAAAGTAGGTAAGACAATCAGAGCTATGAAGTGATCTGGATTTGAATGGAAATAATTGATTTGAATGAATATATATCATGAGAACCAGTCTGGTAGAGTGGTTAAGGCATCAGGCTAGAAACTGGCAGACTTCTAAGCCCGTCTTCAGCACAAGACGAGCTGGGTGACTTTGGGTCAGTTACTTTCTCTCAGCCTTAGGAAGGCAGCAGTGGCAAACCACTTCTGAAAAACTTTGCCAAAAAAACTACAGGGATTTGTCCAGGCAATCTCTGAGAATGAGACACGTTTGCGTGGAAGGGAGAAAACACATATTATTCTAGTCAGCAACTCCTTAAATAAACAGTATCTTTTCCTGAGCTTGTGCTGTGTGATCCCCCCCCCCAAATTTATTTATTTATTTATTTATTTATTTATTTATTTATTTATGAGACTTATATACCGCTTTAAGTGCAAGCACTCTCTAAGCGGTGTACACCAGTAAGCAATGTATATATATATATTTACATTGCCCCCAACAATCTGGGTCCTCATTTTACCTACCTCGGAAGGATGGAAGGCTGAGTCAACCTTGAGCCGGTGAGATTTGAACCGCTGACCTGCTGAACACAGTCAGCTAAAGTGGCCTGCAGTACTGCACTCTAACTGCTGCGCCACCTCGTTCAAATTGTTGAACGAGGCAACCTGCTCACTCAAACATCTTTTCACCATTAAATCAAGTTTGCTTCACAGCTTTAGACCTGGTGGCTGTGAGTTTGCACTCGAGGATGGTGGGGAACAACGAGATCATTACTCTGATCCTGTGGGATTAAAGAAATCAAAGCTCCCAAGTATGTCAGAAGCAGTGCAATAATCAATACACAATTAGTAACATTAAAATGGTACTCAGATGAGAGCTGATCTGTCTTGAATGTAGGCATGTTTCTCAATTGAGTCATTTTCTCCTCCAAGATTCTGTATTTATCTGTAGATCTTAGTTTATAGTTATTGGGAACCTTTGTATTGATTAGCAGTTCCAGGAGAGCTATTCTTCCATTAATCAATAGGGAAGTGATTGGACAATTGCTCAGTGGAAGGAGCACTTGGATTCTGCTTTCTCTGCAGTTATCTGGGACATTCTTCTAATTCTTGGCAGCTTCTAAGCCCCTGTTGCTTCTGACTCTGCTGCCTTTTCTGGAATGAAATAGATTCAAGCTATCAGAATAATGCCAACAAAAATATGAAGCATGACTACATATGTAGAAAGAGCCAGGAGGTCTGAGTTTCTTGGAAAAGCTAGAGTATAATGATTATAGCAGCAAAGGAACCCTGTTGTGATGTTACTGGTTTTTATGTATTATATTTCCATTCTGTATGAAATATGCCAAACATTATTCTAAGTACTTAGCAAGATGGTGATGGTGATTAAACATTTTGTAATATAGCTCTTTATTTGACTGCTGTTTGTCTTCAATAAACTAACAAGATATCAATTCATAGATAGGATATTGCTGGAGATCCCATGTATGCTGCTTTGAGTAGTTTTATAAAGAGAGAGATGTATCACACACTCATTTTTCATATTTGAGAAAAACAAGATGTGTAATTACAGTTTGTTTTACAAGCACAAAGCATATCTACCTCTTCTGTCCTGATTTATTTGAATAAGCATGAATGTCATTGCAGGGTAAATGTTTTTGGGTATTTCCAGCCAAATAAAGAGCAGGCAGAGCAAATCGCTAGAGCTCCGTTCAAGTCCCAGCCAATGATGGGAGAGTAAAATGTGACTGTGAGGGATCAGCCTTTGATGCACAAAGCATAACTGAGCTCCCCATGTTCCAAGTGATGCAAAATAGCTCCAGCAGGCTCTGCCAAAGTGGCTATGCTGCATCACATTAGTAGCACTGGAACACAGGATGATGTTCAGAAGGAGTAAAACCATTGTATCACAGCAGTAGGGCCTATTAGAAATGAAGCAATCCCACTGGGGCATTTTATTTGCACACTCCAGTAGAGTGGACGCCAAAGGCTTTGCTAATGCTTCATGGGCTGCTAATTTCCTCCCTGACCCCTTTTGTGGAGGGGTGACCCCAGCCAGAATCCTTCTGCAATGAATGCCAAAGCCTGACACAGGTCTGGGTTAGGGGTGACAAAGAGGCCTCTGTGGGCTTTAATCAGGCTCCAGTTTGCCGTTTAAGAACTGGGAAGGGGGGAGAGAGAGTTGTGGCTCTCTAAAGATCTGGGTGGTACAATAAGGGAGGCCCAGGGTCTCCCATGGAGGCAGCTGAGTTGCAGCAGGCAGCAGAAGACAGGCTAAAAAATTCATCAGACAAGGAGGGGAGGACAAGAAAGGAGAGGCGGATGGCTTCTTTTGTGAAAGTCTTTCTTTGGAATATAGAAGGTTTTTCAATGAATGCCCCCATTAGATGACCCAATCAGGTCCTGGCAGATGGATCTCCTAGGCACGCTGCTTATTCATAGCAGGCGAAGTTGCTTCTGCTCTCTCACTTCCCTTTCCCTGTGCTGCATCCCTCCTTTCTTCCCACATGCTTTCATGCATATTAAGACTAACTTTATATATGTGTGTGTGTGTGTGTGTGTATATATATATAGATAGATAGATAGATATATTTCTTTCTCTTCTTGTCCATCTGCCCCAAAGACTGTGACACCTACTGCAAGGCATCCAAAGGAAAGTTGAAGATAAACATGAAGAAGTATTGCAAGAAAGATTATGGTGAGCAACTCTCTCCTCCCCAACGTCACCCTGGAAATGTTCGGTGTCTGCCTGTCTTGTCACAGAATCTCTTAAAAGTGGCATTTCTTTTCTGGGACATGGTCAGAATAATCTCTGTTATGTATGGTAAGTGGCTATTGGCCAAAAAAGACCTTCCTAGCAGTGTGCAATATTGTTTATAACTGAATGCACAATAAAGGACCTGCCAAAGGTTTGAGATGGGCATAAATGGGGGGGGGGAGGGGAGAACTGAAAGGAAATCAGTGAAACATGCAGCAAAGTATCTTCTGGGAATTTGCTCTGGGACAGCCCGACTAGAGCACATTCAACTACCCAAAACACTGAGTAAGTATGGGAAATTTACTATCTTGCCTCTTGGAAGATGGAAAAAAAAACCTCATAAATTAAAGATTTCATTCATATATTTAAATGGGCAGCTTGTATGTACTGGGAGGTATGTGCCAAGACGGAGCCTTTAAGGTGTGTTCACACAGCATCTTTAACCTTCTTCCACATTGATCAATGTTCTGGATTGACAAAATACATTGAATAGAAACTGGCCAAGTAGGCTGAGTTGACACACATGCTAAACCACAAGACAAACATGCAAGTAAAACTTCTTTTTCATGCTCAGCACATTAAGGACAAATTAAGTGTATTGTACGGGGAGAGTCTTAGAGGGAGCCTACTAAAGTTAGAAAGTTTCTTATCAATAATGAAACAAAAGGAAATCCAATGTTGGTCGAAGACTGCCAGGGTGGAAGAAATGCCAGGGAAGGCAAGGACTGGAACTATGCATTTAAAGTGCATTTGTGTGAATTTGTGTGGGTTCTTTTACTAACAAAAGTGAATGATGATGGGAACGACAGCCGAATTTCCTTGGAAACAGGAAGATATTTTCCTGCAACACTCAATATTATTCAGTCCCAAATTAGTATGATGTGGCTTTGTTTGCTCTCAGCATCATGGTCAGGTTACCAGATCCAGTTGATTGTATGATTTGTGAGGCCAATGACTACTTGATTTCTTTATTTTTACCTGTCAAGAAGGGATAAAATAAAGAAAAAAAAAAGATGTCACAGCTTCAACGAATGAATAGAACAGTTGTAAAATCACAAGGAGGATGAATTAAAAATCTTTCAGGAGGGTTTTTTCATGTAAATGTAGGTAAGTGTTTGTGTGTTTAAAAATAAACATATGATAAGGATTTATAACATGGTTTTAAAAAAAATTTGGAATATGGTTGGAAAGAATACAATAGCAATTTTAAATTTTGGTGTTGGAAAAGACTTCTGAAAATGCCATGGACAGCCAAGCAAACAAGAAATGATCATCGAACAAATTCAGACAAAATCAGTGTTTTTCACTCAACACACCATTGACCACAGTTAAATTGTACCTTGGGCATATTATGCAAAGATCTAATTCCTTTACAATTGTGGGAAAATTGGAAGAAAACAGAAAAAGAAAATGACCATCAGCAAGGTGGATGGATTTCATTACAGTGGGGATGGATGTACCCTTGTAACATCTGAAGGGCCAGATAGGGAGACAGATTATTCTGAAGGTCTATATATATGGTTACTAAGAACTGAACCTGGCTTGATGGCACAGAATCAATCAATCGTCATATATATGACCTTGGGTGCAAGAAAGAAAAGGGAAAGCTCATAAAAGCATGCTTATAGATAAAACTTGGTATATTTATTCCTGTCATGTTCTATAATTAAATGATTAAACAATTAAGTTCCATATATTTTTTTGTGCTGTAACTTTTGTATAAAAATACAGGAAGAGTTAAGAATCCTTCAAACCTTTGTATAATTGATGTAGAATTAGTGTATTGCCAGACTTATAGTATCAATCTTTTTCAACCATAAAAACTTAAAATTCTAATTGTCTTCCCGTTCGTTTCCAAGTCATTTTTGTCCAAAAGGGAGTTACTTAATGCATAACATCATAGTGATTAAAGTTTCAGTTTTGAGCAGCACATTTCCAACAATACAGGAAGCATTGATTTAAGTCACTCAGACATATACACATAGAGCCATGCGATTGGTTATAAACTGTGTAGTCAATTTAAAATGAGAGGCAGAAAGTAATTACAGAGTTGTTAAGTTTGAATGTCCACAAGCATACTTGGAAATGCGTGGACCTATGCAAAACAACTTTGCTTCAACAAAGAAATTTGTGCTGTGGAAGCAACATGATTCGCTTCATTGAAGCGAAGAGGTGAAGTGATTCACCTTGACAAAGCAATTCACATAATCTTAAACCACTTTGGGCAGGGCTTCCAGACTGCATCCAGCAGTGTGCTCTGAATCCACCCAACCTTGAAGAACTTGAACAGTTCATGAGGGGGCTCCAGGCAAGAAGTCTGAACTTCTATTGTTCAAAAATGGTCATTTTGAGGTCAGTGGCAGCGTTCCTTGGAAAGCTGAAGTCCCCCCGCCACCTTAAGCTTTGAATACTGAAATTTCTGAGATTACCTTTATACCCATTTATTAATTTTGCAAGTTCATCCTATATACAAAGCTGAGTGGCACTGATGCCTTATGATGGCATATATCACAGTGGAAGATGATAAATTGAATAAAGTTCTCAAGCTTTAATCGGTGTAATTAGAACATGACATATTTTTTCTGAATTGATAAAAAGTTATATTTATTCTCTATAATTGTTATAAGGAGGATTTTTTTTATTTGTAGTTTATATTAGGTTGTTGGAGTAGAATAGGGTGTAATTAAGAGCAACCATGTTATCCAAGACTTGTAAAGGAAAAGTAATTTTATTGACCATGATGGCCTGCAAGTCATTGATAATATGTTGGGCTGGTTTTAATAATAGGCAACTACAAATAACCAGTCTTTATGTTGATCAAGGTGGCTGATAGGGCATCACTGTAGGTGACACTAGAGAATATTTTAGGGCTGAGAGCTTTATGAACCCCACAGAAACCTTCAAAGTGTACAAAAGTACCAGTTTGGTCTAGCAGCAGGCTAGAACCAAGAGATCATGAGTTGTAGTCCTGCTTTAGGTATGAAAGTCAGCCAGATGACTTTGGACCAGCCCAACTCACCCCACAGGGTTGCTGTTATGGGAAAAATAGGAGTAGGAAGTAATATTGTGTGTGTTTGTTGCCTTGAGTTATTTATTAAAATAATAAAGGAAGGTTATTATTTTTTTTTAAAAAAAGGTGACATTCATGCCTCTTTCTCTTTCATGTGCCCAGATAGGCATACTTTACTAAACCTACAGAACCTTCATCCTGCTTCTGTTTAGACATGGTTTTCTTGGGCTTCTTTGGATTGAGGGATGAGGAAAAAAAATAACTTCATCTTCTTCCCTCTCCTCACACCCAGTCACTGAACTTAATTGATGATTATAAGCCTCTTTCTTCAATTGATGGCTGATCAGCAATAAGGGGAGGAAAAGAGATCCCTGAATGCAACAGAGAGCAATGAAGTATGAAGGTATGAGAAATGATTAATTTATTGTGGTGCTGAAATGGAGACTGGGGAAACCATGGTCAAGAGCAGTCAGAACATAGATCTAGCGTGGAAGACTGTGTTCCTCTTACGCATCTTGCCTCGTAACCAGCTGCATGGGTTGAGGGGAAGGCAGGAAAAATGGGAAAGATGGCTTTCTATTGCCTTACTCACCAGATCTCTGACCTACAGATTGGATCCTAGTGACCAGAAACCTGGAAGTAAAGAAATGGCTCCCCCAGCTGCTTATTGGAGGGAGAAATGGCAATTGATTTATTCAATTTCTATAGCTGCCCATTTCAATTAGTGACTCTGGGCAGCATACAGTATAAAAACATTAAACAACACAGGGTAAATATATAGATGTTTATATAGCTAAGCCAGAATAGATAATATGATTTTAATCAGGGGGCTTAGTCATCTTTCCAATCATATCTCCTTCACAGTCCCTCCCCTGTTAAGGGGATAGTTTGGTGGATATATATCCACTTGCAGCTGAGCTATTAGTAGAAGGGAAAGCAAAATTAGAGGTATCCATCAGTCACTTAACTTTACCCACTTTACTACTTGTTCTGACCCAGAGTTACGTTTTTTGCTTATTTCAGTTAGTTAGTTGCGGAAATATATATTTCCAAGCGGGGAGTGTTCTGGATCATATAACCCTGACTAGAGCATGTAGCTCTGTATGATAGAATGTTTGGCATTTATTGGGTTAAGTGCGGTCTCTTTAAGAGATGGCTTATGGGTAATGTAGTTTTAGCTAGGTAGCTATATCATGTTAGCAGGTCAGTGGAAGGAGTTTCTAAAGTTCATTACGGGATACACTGGCTACGTGCCAGGTTGGAATGTTCTTTGTCTGAGATAGCATGGGGTCATCGCATGTCTCAGATGGCTCCACTCCACGTTATAGAAGTGGTATGGAGGAAGCATTAATTTCTTACCTATAAGGATGAACAGATATGTAATATCCAGAAGCAACAACCATAACTGCAAGTATCTCTGAATAAAATATATCTGTTTTAAAATTATTCTTATTGAGTTTATCTGTCTGATCTAGATTTACAAAGCAACTTTACTACATTACTATAAGGATAGCATTGGTCTCATTACTATATAATCACAGGATTTGACAATTAGGCCAATACAACCATCCTCAAGGTAAGAGGAAAGAGGTTTGTTAAAGCCACAAATCCTTGGCTTCAATGTATTTTGCAAAGTTACAAGAGGAAAGGCTATCTGTATGAACTGCTTGAGGTTTCAGAGGAACAGATGGAGGCATATATAAATATATAAATACAAATATTAAAATATACGAACTTGTTATTACACATATTCTAGTAACACTCAGCTTCCACAATATCCCATTTTCAAATAAATGATTGGCAACTTTAGTTTGTTCTAGCAAAGCATCAGCAAAGAAAAACTTTCTTAACATTTGCATCAGGAGTTAAGTAGCAGAAGCTGGCTAATTCCTGACTCTGCCTTGACTCTCTTCTACATAACCCATATACT